AACACTGTTCCAGAACAGTTCAACCCAAATATTCAGATGTGTGCAGCGCATTTTACGGATGACTGTTTCCTGAACCTGGCAGAGTAGCCTACAATGCTGGCTGTGCAGAAAGACGGTTTCTATAAAGTGGGGCAAAATGTTCTTTTTAGCAACATCATATGACCCCTTTAATAATTAATTTCTAAAGACAAAATTAAATTAGAAATCTTATTTAGTGTATGATGTCAAACATGACATCAAAATTAACAATATTTATTCACTTTAAAAAATATATCACTGGTCTTCTTGTGCAGGATGTCTTTTTCGAACAAAAAACATTGCTTTCATAAATTTTATCCTAACTTCAAAACACTCCAGTAAAATGGAACAAAATCCCCTAGCCATTTATAATTTTATATATATATCATTTATATATATTTGATATAATTATAAAGTTTTTTTTACAGTGGGGAAAAAGAAGCAAGCATTTTATTTTTCTAATTTTTAAAATCAGATTTTAGTCCAAAGTTGAATAGAAAAATTAAATTTCAGGAATGCAAAATTCGAGCTGTTTAAAAGTGCAGAGTGAAAAATTTTTTTTTTTTTTTTTAAATGTAATTTTTAATTTTCTTTAATTTTATTTTATTTCATTTTTTATTTTATTTTTATAAGCAGCAAAAAAAAAAAAAACCTGTGTATTTATATCAAAAAGGAAAAAAAAGGATTACTTAAGATTTACTCGTTTACTCATTACTCATTTTGCTTTAAGGTTTCTTTATTCAACATTTTTCAAAATCCTAAAATGTAGCTTATATCCAAATTTTGAATCCCACACGTTCAACGTGGTCTCAAACCTGTTTGTCCCCCACTGTACAGTAATTAAATGCATTGTGAATGTGTTTTGTATAGATTTCAAATGCTAATTGTAGCAGCAGGAACGCCACCTCTCGCTTTATTTCATTGCAGCAGTCATGAACAGGTATGCTAGCATGTGGCATTGGCGAGACCCCTGGGTTAAACGTGTGTGTCCGTGTAGGCTTTACTCTAAGAGCTCTGGCGGGATTTGTGTGTGTGGGCTGAAACAGTCGTATTCCACCGCAGTCATCGGGGAGACCTGCTCGCACAGAGCTGATGTGCGTGAATTTCAGAGCGTGTACATGTCCCGTTCCCACCCCCGGCCCAGCATTGTGTGTGCAGTGATGTGTATGTATCTGCATGTGTGTGAGGAGCTTAACCGCTTGAGGTTGGTTATCTGGAAAGCTGCTTTGCCTCCGGGCGGTAGTGTGAAACTTGGCTGGAGAGAAATACAGGCAGGATGAGAGAGAGAGAGGCATAGGTTGTTATGTAACAGGGCTTTTCTTTCCTTTGTCAACAAACAGGAGAGGCCTGTTTATACACACACACAAAGCTAGTCACCAAATACTGGTATGAGAGAGTTTACTTCAAGGGTACACCCAACTCGTGAGACGCAAGGTATTACTCTAAATAAACACACTCCAGAACAGGCAGCGGTTAATGTTTTGTAACAAGAGCTGGACGCAATGAACAGAAACATCTTGTAAAAGAAAGAAAGTACACAAGGACCAGAAGTGGCCTGGCTGTCTTACTGAAGGGTTTCACATGTACACTGAGCCATGCTCCCTCAAACATTTATCACGTTCTGCAAAAACACAAAGCCTGTGCGGTGCATCTATTACCCCCTTTTCCATGAAAATGGTGCTGGTGCTTGTGCCAGTATTGGAAATTTGGCCAGAGGGATTCATGAACAGGCTTGCGTTTTCATTGACATATAGTTCACTATGTTAGAACACAACCTGCCCACAATCATAGCACAGTACATGACGTTCTGAAGTTTCAGAACTTTTTGTTTTAACGCCCAAAGTCATTTAAATCTGTGCCTTAAGGCAATCGTCATCAACAATTTGGCTTGATTTAACAAGCAGAATTTATTCAAATTGGTAATTATTAAAACTACTGTACTATTTTTTAAAGAAAATAAAGGATGCATTAATTTGATCAAAAATGACAGAACAGATTTTTACATTGTTACAAAAAATATATTTAAATCTATTTAAAAAACCATCACAGGAAAGAATTACATTTTAAAAAAGATAAAAATAGAAAACAGTAATTTTGAATTGCAATAATGTTTCACGATATTACTTTTTATAATATTATTAATATGAATAATAATAATATTATTAATATTATTATTATTAAATAAATATGGCCTTGGTGAGCATATCAAATTTCTTTAGAAAGTGTTTAAAAAAAAACGTCCTTTTTCAAACTTTTGAGACGGATAAATAAAGTGACTACACAGTAGTTAGCAAGGAATGTGGTCCCAATACTATTAGAAATTTAAAAACTAATTAGAAATTATAGAAAACTTTATTCCGAGTTTATTTTTATGACAATGTCATGAAAATATTTAAATTATTGCGAGGGCTAGAGGAAGTTAGTGTTTTTGATTAAAGATTACGAGGGAACACAATAAAAAAAAAATGATGCATTTAAGTCAATAAATCAATTAAAATTAGAACAGTCAAAACCACACCCTCCCTGGAACCACAAGTCAAATGTTCCTAAACACAACTACACATACTTCTATAGTGTCAAAAACTGAATAAACACACAGGAAAATACACAGATACTCTCGCCACTTTGAAGCTTTGTGCTCAGCTTTCTCTGCTGTGACCGTTTGGCCATTACCACATATCTAAAATACAGCAGAACAACAGCACCTGCTTGACATTTTAAACATTTTGTACATTGTGTGCAGACACATGCTCACGTTCAGCTCACCACGCTGACACAAGTGATCATTCGAGAGAGAGAGAGAGAGAGAGAGAGAGAGAGAGAGAGAGAGTTTTAAACATTTTGTACATTGTGTGCAGACACATGCTCACGTTCAGCTCACCACGCTGACACAAGTGATCATTCGAGAGAGAGAGAGAGAGAGAGAGAGAGAGAGAGAGAGAGAGAGGCCAATTATATCTGCTCGTGAGTCATGACCTGCTGCTCAGCAACCAAATCACCAAGTCATTGGCGAGAGATAGAAAGAAAGAGAAATTCAACCCGAAAACAAAGACTTAAGAGAAAAAGCACTGAGATAAACAAGAGCTAAATGATGGGAGAGACCGAGCGAGTGAGCGAGAGCAAGAACATGATGAGCCACGTGAGGTTGGCTCAGACACTGCAGGCTGGTTACGTAAACACCCCCCGCTCCATCGCCTCATGGACTCAGCAGACACCGCGCCTCTCCAATCCCTCCGCCTGCTGCTGTGCCACGCTTTTTTCTCTTGCCTCACATGGCTTCTCACATGCTCGCTCCCTCCCTCCTTCTTTCCCTCACTCGCCCTCCTACTCTCGGTCTCCCCGGGGAGCCGGCGGTCTGTGCCGAGCAGGCCTGCATGAAACCACAGCACCACTCTCAGGGCGGGAAGAACACGGCAAAACAGCCAAACCCCGTGGAGAACGAGCGCTCCAAAATAAACAAACACATACGGACGTGGAATTACGCAAACTATCTTTTTTGTGGTGGAGAGATGGAACAAATCCAATGAGTCACTTTTACACTTCTTTTACACTTCTAAACTTAAAATACATTTAAGACTTTTCGCCACTCACTGTGATGTCATAATGACCATGATGTCATAATGTTTATGATGCAACAACATGGCAAACAGCCAAACCCTGTGGAGAACGAACGCTCCAAAATAAACAAACACGTACAGATGTGGAATTGCGCAAACCAGTTTTTTTTTTTTTGGTGGAGAGACGAAACAAATCCCTTTTAATGTGTGGCCACGTTTATCGCTGCTCAGCGAAATTTTGAGGGTGAATTCCAGCCGTTCTAAAAGGAATCTGTGCGACTGGACGTTTCGTGCAAGGATAAAAAAGTTCCCCGCACAAATTTCGCTCACGTTCAAGTTCATCACACAAATTTATCACGCTGACCAACAAAAAACTGCTTGGTTTGAAAGTGAGTTTTGTGTGATCTGTGCTTCATACAGCTCGACATAAACAACGGACCTGTTTTTTGCACATGAAATTTCGCCGAAAATCGCTAATTTGACCACACCTTTACACTTCTAAATTAGTCACAAGTCTTGTATGTTACGTTTACAACATTCTGCAACGCACTGTGATATCATAATTAGGGATGTCCCAAGCCGATCTCAAGGATCGGGTCCGATTAAGCTTTTTTTAACTAATCATATCGGCTCTGCTAAGCCAGATCCACCGATGATTCATCAGCTGTCATGCCGGTGTCATGCAATAGGTGGCGGTATGCACTTTCTACAGTCCACTGCAAGAAGACTCTTAAATGTGCGTGTGAGAAAGGCAAGATCAACGAGGTCTGTTCTAGTGCGTCACACGTATTTAAGATTCCGTGTTTAGTGTATTTGTTGTGCACTTTGTATAAGGAATCACTCTACAGTAATTTATTCACTATTTAGTTATCATAATGCATGGGCTATGTGCTGACTTGAGTCTTGCTTTGGACATGACTGATAGGCAGGCATTCTGGCATTCACAAACTTCATGCTTTCTAATCTTATCTCAACTTTTTTCCCTTTACGTTGTAATTAATCTGTTTATTGTACATATAAAATACAAAACATCTACCAATGTCTTTATACAGTGTGTGCTTACTGCTTAAATAGAGAGAGTCGCTTTGAATAATATGCGGTTACATTTACCATTGCTTGGCAAAATTTCACAGGCGAATTTTTGATTCAACAAATTCTGATTTAACAAATGCTGATTCAATATGTTCAACTGGCAAAAATAAGTGCTGACATTCCGCCACTCACTGTGATATCATAAAAACTATGATGTCATAATGTTTATAATACAACAACACAGCAAACACAGCCAAACCCTGTGGAGAATGTATGCTCCAAAACTAAAACATACATGGAAAAAATATTTTGTGGTAGAGAGACGTAACAACTTTTAAGGTGCAGTAACATCTACTGTTCCTCATCGTCAATTTCAGTCATTCTAATAGAAATCTGTGTGATCGGGAGTTTTGTGTGAGGGTGAAAAAGTTCCCTCACAAAGCTTTCGCTCATATTCACAACATTTCGCTGCACAAAACAAAAGAAACCTGCTTGGTTTGAAAGCTGTACTTCATACGTCGCTATACTATTGAAAATAGACCTGTTTTTGCATGCAAAATTGTGCTGAAATCTCGCTAATGGAACCGTGCCTTTATACTTTTAAACTTATCACAAGTCTTGTTACATTTAAGACATTCCGCCACTAACGACTATAATGTCATAATGTTTATGAGGCAACAACTGGGAATTAATCTGCTAGAGCTTTTCCTGTCCTTTATTCCTAATATTTTTCTATTCTTCCTTTTCTTTGTTTTTCTCTCACTCTCTCTCTCCATGTGCAAGGCCGTAGTCCGATCTCTGCAGTATTGATTTGTGGCTCTGGGTGATTTGGCTACTTGCTCCAACACTATGAGTGTGTCCTCATGTGCCTTTGCTTATGTAACAGAGCGGGACTCTTTCTCCACTAGATGCTGATTAATTGTCTGGAGCTGTGCAGAGGCCCAGGAGCTGCGCTTCACTTCGCACGCCCGCATATACACACACACATAAGCACTCTTATGGGATTACAATTCTGCCACAATTCTGCGCGTGAAAGATCCAAAAGAGAAGGTCTGCACACATCCAAAAACTTATTTTAAATGCAAAATAGATTTTTGTGCGTTCGAAATACTTTCTTCTTTGCGAGACAAACATTTTCTCCACAAAACTCAGTTCGCACGCGTGCAAAACGCACTTTTGCGCGCTCAAAATATGATCTTTCGCGCGCAGAATTGTGGCAGAATTGTAATCCCATACACTCTCAGCTCTAGGGGTTGAGGTTGGGGGGTTCATCAGGTTCACAGTCCTTGGTTTTGGCACTATCGCCCTCTTCTGGTGGTTACCAGCATGGCAACAACATTCCCTAATGGCATTATGACATCACAGGTGGCAGGTGCATTTTTGATGTTTACTATGAAACCTGAGCTGATCTGCTGTTTGTTACTGCTTGTTAGTGGCAGGTTGTATAAGAAACACATTTTCTACACATTCTCATAATTACAGTCTAAGATAATATATTCACTCATAAAAAAAAAAGTGTGAGCAAAAAAGGCCAGAATGAGGTTACGGAAAGTTCCCACCACACTTACCTTTTCCTCGAATATTTCTTTCCTATCCAGCATCTCTCGCAGGGTCTGCAGGATCTTAATACACAGCTTCTCCTCTTTCTCCATCAGTTTCTTGGTGTGTTTGATGAGCCTGAGAGAAAATATTGTATCATATTTCACACTAAACATGTAATATAATTCAAGGATATCAACGTGGCCACTTGACCAGTCACATCAACTACAAATGTTTTGCAACTATGCATTTAACTATAATCAATACATACAATTAATGATGTATCAAAAGACATTTTCATCTTATTTTTTAACCTAAAATATTTAGAATATAATTCTTTGTGTTTAGTGGAGTAATGCTGGCTGAGATTGTATTTCTTGAGAACAATAGATTATGCAGGTAACAGTCCCATTTACAGGCTAGACGCATGACAAAACTGGATTTTATATAACAGTCAGATGTTATTGAATTATTTAAGGACTAAAAGTACACTACTGTTGAAAAGTTTGAGGTCAGTAAGATTTTTAAAATGTTTTTAAACAATATCTCTTATGCTCACCAAGGCTGTTTATTTGAACAAAAATACAGTAAAAATAATATTGTTAAAAATTATTACAAATCAAAATAACCGTTTTAATATTAAAACATAATTTATTCCTGTGATGGCAAAGCTGAATTTTCAGCATCATTATTTCAGTCTTCAGTGTCACATGATCCTTCATAAATCATTATAATATGATGATTTGGTGCTCAAGAAACATTTCTTATCAATGATAAAAACAGTTGTGCTGCTTAACATTAACGTGTTTTCAGGATACTTTTGTAACAATGCAAAAGTCTTCACTGTTTTGCTTTTTCTCAATTTAATGCATCCTTGCTGTACAAAACTATTAATTTCTGTAAAAAATTAAATAAAAACGTACTGACCCAAAACGTTTGAACAGTAGTCTACATTGTAATCAATCCATATATTTGACATCTGTAAATAAAATCAATTGATTTGCAAGCCGGATTTTAAGAAAATTGGGGTTGGCAGTTTGAGACTGTTTTCAATTCAGTAAGTATTTGAATTGTTTTTGCAACAATTTTCCATAAGTCGTGTTATTTCAATAAATGTAATGTCCAAAAATGTTGTGACAAATAAAACAGGAAATCTGCTTTATGTCCTATTCGTGTAGACTTATATAATCACACGCAGACGGTCTGTGATTTTAGAGGTATATCTTGTTTAGACTCAGATAATTGCTTATATAAGGCACTCAGAACCCCAGGCACATTCACAATAAACACATTTTATAGCTCATATATGATGCTGCTGGTATACTAATCACAGCACAACCAGGTCCAACACATACATACAAACATGAACATATTTTCAATTCAATTCAAATTGCCATTTACATGTTTTAAACCCATTTTTACAGACAAATATACAACAGACAATCAGTTAAGGGTGCTGCTGACGTAAATGTTTGGAGTTATAGCCGAAATTCTCATGGATTTATAATGTCATACCTATGGCTATTTTTAACTGCCACTGGACTTGTTTAATATATTCATCGCGTATGACGCACGCCTTTAATTAGTTTGATGTGGGTGCATGTCTCACTTAGACATGAAGGCTCCATCCTCACTGCGGAGCTGCGCAGACTCAGGAAACAGCATCTCTGGGCTTTGCAGCACGTCTACTAATACAGAAAACTCTGCATGCACCTGCGGACTAAACTGCTCCTCCAGATACACAATGACTCCCTGAAACACATACACACAACATCCAATCAAAAGCAGTAGTCAGTGTCATAGACAGAAGACATTTAACATGCACAAATACTATTACTGTTATCTAATTAGCAGTGTAGCATAAGGTAATGATTGGATCAGTGACGATGTGCAATGTGGTATACTATTATTGTTACTTTTTTTTAAATGGCTTTCTGGAAGGCCGTATTTTCCGGGAAAACAAGCTGCACAGGGTCAAAATTGAATTGTGCTGATGTTTCTTTTTTGTATATCATTAAAATCTTGAATAAATACACTTTGACATAAAAAAAACCCATTGCATAGTTGTATAAGTCACGTTATTATTACATTAAGAAATAAACGTAAACGCAAAGTTTTCACTTTACAATTTACATTATAAACACAATAAACACGTATTTCAGTTCCCCTCACTTAAATCTTTTACATTTAATAGTATCCAGAATAGAACAGGAATTAATTATTTAAGTATAAAACAAACATAAACTATAGTGGCATTAATTACAAATAACATTTATTATAAATGGCAAACCTAAATTAATTTACTTAAATTGAAACTGAAAGTAAATAGTCGCAGCACACTTCCGATGATAAGGAAATATGCAATTTATATTCCAGAAAATATGGTACTTGGTTCTAATTGGTCAGTTGCCTTTATAAAACTGTGAGGTCGAATAACAGTGACAGTTTTAGATTTGAAGGTGACGTTACCTGTAGTTTCTCAATTATCCTGTAATCATGGGCCCCAAAAGGCTCCTTACGGGGTCGGCCGCGGGTTGACAGCTTCCAGTCTTTCACTGCGCGCTGCACCATGCTGGTGTGTGTCTTTAGTGACAGGGTATTGACCTGACCGTCCAGGTCCACTGGAATGGGGATTGCCCGGCTCTTAGCTGGACAGGGTTAGATGGAGATGCCTTTATAACCTTTATGCATTTTCTTACATATAGCTTGTTAAATGTTAAACATTAATATTCTCAAACACTAATGGCAAACACTCTTCTGTATTTTTCTTCTATTTTCTGGGGACATTTTTATAGTATTTTTCAGTTTAAGGCAAGAGTAAACTTTTGTGACAGTTTCCACAGATATAACATCTATTATTCATACATTATTCATTTATTTATTTTAGAGGTTGCATGATTTTTGTGTGCAGTACTTTTTGAATTAAATGTCAATAATTTCATAAATATTGTATATAAATAAGAATGTTAAACCAGGTTTAAATGCATACCACATGAATTCCGAGACCTGTCTATCCAGATACAGTATATATGTGTGTGTTGTCAAACGATCACAATTAATCGATCCAAATTAAAAGTTTTTGCTTACATAATATTATGCATATATATATATATATGTGTGTGTTGTCAAACGATTAATCACAATTATTCACAAAATAAAAGTTTTTGCTTACATTATATTATGTATATAAATATAATGTGTGTGTATATGAATATGTATATACAGTGGGTACGGAAGTAATAAGTACCTGAGAAAACACTCGAATATATATATATATATATACACACACACATACATATACATATATATATATATATATATGTGTTGTCAAACGATTAATTGATCCAAAATTAAAGTTTTTGCTTACATAATATTATGTATATAAAAATACACACACAAACAGTATATTTTTTGAAAATATTCATATAATTTATATTATATATAAATATATTTCATATATAAACATAACATTTTTCTTACACACATATATATATATATATATATATATATATATATATATACATACACACACACACTCATATATATACACACAAATATACATATATACATTTTAAATAGCTTTTACATAAAATTGCTTACATTTTTATTTCATTAGGTGCCAATTGCAGGAATTTAGAAATCTTAAGGGGGATGGTCAATATTTAAAAAACATGTCAGCATCGAATAATTAGCTGGAAGCATTTTTTAGTCATGGTGAAGCTACCATATATGACTATTCATAAAAAAAAAAAAAAAATAATAATTTAATCCACAAACCAAAACCCTCTGTCACATGGAGGCATTATATTTGGGTTAAGACTCATCACTGCCAGATGTGAAACTTACCCACGTCAGCAAGGGTTTTGATGCAACCCTCAATGTTAGTCTTCTGCAGGGAGTTGAGCCAGGTGCAGTTGTAGAGTCTGCAGGCTGACTGCAGCAGTTTAATGAAAGTTGCTTGATGGGCCTGACGAAGAGATTAGCAAAGCAACATTAATATGACTGATTCATAGAGCATAGGGAGAGAAATAAGTCTCCTCTTCACATCAGACTGAGATGAGATGAGGTGAGGAACTGGTGGATTGAACTTTCTCACTCTACCTGCAGGTTCGAGTTGCTGACAGAGAACTGCGAGCCGAAGAAGCCCTTGACGATGGCCATGATGGTATCAGTGACGTATTTTTCGAGGCATGTATCAGCATGCTTCCTGTCTGTGGGGCCGTTAGACACCTACAACAACATCATCATCAGTTCAGGATGCTTAGCACCCACATATCAAGCACAAATCAGTCACAGATGATCTAAACGGCTCTTTAAGCCTGTATATTATGCCTCACAAATTGCGAGGGAGGGAAACAGAGAGAGAAAGAGTTAGTTGGCGTCAGTTAACTCACCCTTGCCATGTCTACAAGGAAATTTTCAAAGAGTTTCCAAATGTGATTGCTGGTGTAGATCTCCTTCATCTCCACCTCAGTGTCCACATAGCAATGGTTCACGAAATTTACATATGCAATTTTTACCTGCAAAAGATGTAAAAACAACACTCAAAAAGTCTTGTTAATATCACTTACAAAAAAAGTCTACAGTTTTAATTGCATTTTTTGGACATGGCACTACCAAGT